AAGACCCTGAGCATGCAACGAAGAACTGTCCTCGGGATTCCAACGCCACGGATCAACCTGACTGCTGCGTCTTGACGATCCTGAACCGTGCCAGAATGCCATTCCTGGGACTTCAACACTGCGAATCAACGAATAACGGTTGCACCCTCACAATCCTGCATTCCTTCCAAAACACCATGTCTGGTACGCTGATGATGAAAACTCGTACGCTTGTGTCATACGAATGTGCACGGCGCTAAGGCGAAAGCCACATTTTGAAAAAGAACCGCCATCAAGCCGTGACGCTCTTGCAAATGTTTGAACGAGTGCACTCGGCGCTAAAGCGAAGACCACATTTTGAAAACGGGCCGCCCTAAATCCGTGAAGCGATTGCACATGTTTAGAACGAATGTGCGCGGCGCTGAGGCGAGAGCCACACTGTGAAAACGGGCCGTCCTCAACCCGTGAAACTGTTGCATGCGATTGCGCTTGTTTAAATTTTGTGTAAAAACACGAATGAGCGCGGCGCTACGGCGAGAGCCACATTTTGAAAACGATCCAGCCTCCAGCTGTGAAATTGTTGCCAATGTTTGGGCTTCATGGTCGCACGTGGTGGGGAACCCTCAGGCGAAACACCTGGCCCATCCAAAAAACTGGCTTCAGGATGCGACAGGGAGAAAGTTTGCATAAGGAGGAGGAACTCAGGAGGAGAGGAGGACGACCGTAGCCATGCTGGCTCACAGCCGCGGCGCGCGCCCCGACCATCTTGGCACAGCCGGGCATGGCATGGCGCGTGGCACGAGTGGCCCTGTGGAGGATGACGGTCATGGTCATCCGAGGCCTGCAGCAGGAGAGCGCAAGGCGAGGAGTGCTTTGGGCAGGCAGGTCCGCCGACAGAGCGGTAGCCAAACTCTCGGGCGCTCTCAAGGCCCAACAGAGCGGGCTCAAGCAGCTTGAGGACGCCCTCGAGCTGCTCATCGGCAGCGCCGAGGTGGTTAGCCGAGTTCGGGGCCTGCTCCAAGCGCTGTCAGCGCTGGTGTGCCTCGAAAAGCTGCGCCGAGAAGTCTCCCTCCACGCTGAGGAGGCGCTGGACTTCGCCACGGCCCCGCCTCAAGCCCTTCGAAGAGCCTGCCGAGGCAATCAATTCGAAGCATGGCAAACGGCAACCGCCGCGGAGGCGGTCGCGCAAGTCCAGTTGCGCAGGGAGGCGCCCGTCACCTCCCCCTTCGGCACAGCCTCTGACGGCGACGGCTGCGAGAACGGGCGGCAGTGGCAGCAGGATCCGTACGAGGAGGCGTCATCAGCCACAGTGCGAGACAACCACGCGTCAAAAGCTCCAGTTTGAGAAGCAGTCAGACGTCGAGGCATTGAAGCAGCCAGACGTCATCAGCTACAGCTCTGGGGCCAGCCCTTGCGCTTATGGACGGCAGTGGCAGCTGGCGTCGTACGAGGAGGTGTCATCCTTTACAGTGCGAGAGGCTGCCGGACGTCATCGGCCATGTTGCGAGAAGCAGCCACAAACGGAGGCCTCGACGCAGCAATTTGCCATCAGCCACAGCGCTGGGACCAGCTCGTGCCAGGACGGACGGCAGTGGCAACAAGCATCGTTCGAGGAGGCGTCGCCAGCCACAGCTTGAGAAGCAGCCAGACATGTGACATCATCAACTGCAGTGCGAGAAGCCGTCAGAGGTGGAGGCCTCAACGCAGCCAGACGTCATCAGCTACAGATCTGGGACCAGCCCGTGCGAGATCGGACGGCACCTGCAATAGGCTCCGTGCGATGAGGCGTCATCAGCTTCGGTGCGAGGAGCAGCCAGACGTCATCAGCTACAACGCGAGCAGCAGCCAGCGGAAGCCTCGACGCAACCAGGCGTCATCAGCTACAACACTGGGACCAGCTCGTGCGAAAACGGGCGGCAGCGGCAGCAGGATCCGTACGAGGAGGCGTCATCAGCCACAGTGCGAGAGGCAGCCAAACGCCATCAGCTACAGTGCGAGAAGCAATCGGGAGAGGAGGCCTCGGCGCAGCCAGACGTCATCAGCTACACTTAATGGTTCAGCCCGTGCGCAAACGGACGGCAGTGATAGCAGAATGCGGGCGAGGAGGCGCCAACAGCCACTGAGCGAGCGGCAGACAGACGTCAGTCATCGTCTTGTCACGCAGAAGCGTGCACTTCCTGGGGAGGAGTGTCGGAGTCTCGTGAAGGACGCTGTTCTCGCTGATGAACGTTCTATCCTCACCGGTGTCAAGGGTGTCTTCCGACATCACTGTGTCAATTAGGCTCAAAAACTGAAATGCGAGGCCGCATATCGCCGTTACCTACATCGCCTTTAGCGTGTCTGCGGAAGCAGAGGCCGACGCTGGGATGAGAGCGGGCAGCAACAAGGCCATTGGGCCACAGTGCTTGCTAGATCTGGAGTCGAGCAAAGGGTGGTGGGGGGGAGGGGGGAAGGCTTCTTGGCAGGAGGCTGCTTCTTAGAAGGCACCCGCCTTACATCTATAGACAAGGACCGCGCCTTTCAAGAAGCAGGGGGCGCTTCTAAGAAGCCTTCCCTTCCCTACCCCCTGGGCCTGGGCTTGCTCGACCCCTCGTCCCCTGAACTGTTTTCGCCCCTGGGAGCGCCAACCACAACCGAATGCCATTAGCTCGACCGCCCGAGGAGGAGGAGGAGGAGGAGAAGATGGAGGAGGAGGCGGAGGAGGAGGAGGAGAAGGAGGAGGAGGAGGGAGGAGGGAGGAGGGAGGAGGGAGGAGGGAGGAGGGAGGAGGGAGGAGGAGGAGGAGGAGGAGGAGGAGGGAGGAGGGGGAGTGAGGAGGAGCAGGAGGAGGTTCGGCTCGGTTCCGTCCTCCACGAAGGCGCGAGTTAAGCTCACGGCTGCCCGAGCGGGTGCCGCTGCCCAGGGAAGCGACGGCAGAGGTAAGCCCCAACAGGGCTGAAGAGTTTTGGCCTCAAGCGGGCCCGAAAAAAGTCGATGCACGAGACTGCACAAAATCGTGGCCGCAACAAGGGCCATGGAGGATCAGCAGGAGGAGCGGGAGCAACACCTGAAGGACAGCCAACAAAAGCACTGAACAAGCACGCAAGCTGTCCGAGGCCCACGCGGGCACGTCGGATCTGCGCTGGAGCCGCGCTCCCCGGGCCGGGAGCGCGCCAGGGCCGGCGCCAGAGGCGCCACCCGGGGGGCACCATGCAGATCCAGAAAAAAACAATAATGTAAATGCAGATGTATGCACAGATGCATCAGACAAATTATATATATATATATATATATATATATATATATATATATACGTGTGTGTGTGTGTTCTTGAAAAATATGTTTATATATTTGTGTGTGTATATACACGTGTGTGTTCTTATATATATATATATATAGATACACGTGTGTGTGTTCTTGACAGAAAAATCGCGCGCTGGCCCGCGCCAGCTCCCGGGGCCCGGCACCCGCGCGCGCGTCCACGCGCAGGGGGTGGGTGCGTCCCCACTGCGCCAGCGGACCTGCCGCTCTGCCGCCTCCCGCCCCCCGCCGAGCCTGTGCCGCTCGGCGGGGAGCGCGCGAGGTGCTGGGCCTGGCTTCCACCACCACCACCACCAGAAGTTGAAGAGGGAGGGGGTCCTCCTCCTCCTCCTCCTCCTCCTCCTCCTCCTCCTCCTCCTCCTCCTCCTCGTCCTCGTCCTCCACCTCCTCCTCGTCCTCGTCCTCGTCCTCCACCTCCTTCCCCGTCCCCCCTCCAACTTCTGGTGGTGGTGGAAAACGGGCCCATCACGAGGGGGGCGGGGGGAAGTGAGAAGGAGAAGGCCTTCTCAGAAGGCGGCGGGGCTTCTCAGAAGCCCTCGCGGCCCTCGCGCCTTCGGAAAGGTGTTGTATTATGTCTGCCGGGGAGGCTCAGAGAGAGCTTCTCGGACGACCGGGGTGGCTTCCGAGCCTGCTGAGAAGGCCTTCTCCTTCTCACTCTCCTCCCTGGCTGGCCACCGATCCACGCCGCCGAGAGCACGCTGAGCCGAGACGCGGGCACCACCTCTGAAGAGGCG